ATCTAGAAGAATAAATAATGAACGCGAATGGGTAATACGAAAAACTGTTGCTACTGGTACAAGAATCAGAACCTAAAAAAAAAGAAAAGAATGATTTGTTTGATAAAATAACTACTCCTAAAAAGAAAAGAAAAAATGTGTCAAATAAGGAAATCTAATAAAATAAATCAATATGCCCACGTTTCTACAAAAAGAAGTGAAATCCCACCAAAAACATTCTGTAAAAAACTAGCCAAGTCTCGATGGAGCTGCTTGTTTATCTCTAAAATGTAATGAAATCTAGACAAAGTCGTGCCAAGTCTAAGGTTCCTTACTGTAATTTCTTTATTATTATAGTTAATGTTTTGTGACTTGGCCGTTGAAGGGTACACAAGGGTACAAAACCAGGTGCTACATGACACCATTGCACACAATCTGTCGCTAGAATCGCTACCCATTGACGATGGCAAATTGCCACTTGGAAAACGTTGATTGAATAACCAGTCAATTGTAGGCTTGATAAAGTTGCGTACCCTTCAACGGCCAAGTCACAAAACATTAACTATAATAATAAAGAAATTACAGTAAGGAACCTTAGACTTGGCACGACTTTGTCTAGATTTCATTACATTTTAGAGATAAACAAGCAGCTCCATCGAGACTTGGCTAGTTTTTTACAGAATGTTTTTGGTGGGATAAAACCTACTACAAAAGGAACAAGCCATTTGAACATTATGTTCTAAAATCAAATCAAACAGCGCGCGGCCCCAAACTTCCTGTTACACACTTCCGTCGCACTTCACGTTATCCATCCCACAAATTGCACGAAAGCGAAAGGAATGATGTTATACATCAAAAATACATATTATTACGTGTCGGGATAGGGTTCGATATTATATGCCAGTTCCCGCTTTACAGCTCTTTATTCACCACACAGTTCACATAGTTCTTTCTTAAACACACAATACTACACTCACTGTACACCTATACAAGTCTTTAAACAATCGCACTTGAACACTTTACTTGCACTTTGATCGCTTTTGTATACGTTCCGAAATAATATCTATATTATTTCGGAACGTATGTGTGATATTTGAAATGGGGAGTAATGGGGGCTTCAGTAACCCAGGGGACTAAATCATCCCTAAAAGACTGGTGCAGAAGGCAACGATAAACCACTGCATTATATTTTCGAATTCGAATTCGAAAATATAATAATTCGAATAGAAATGGCTCCGAGAACTTCGCGTCTTTTCAATAAGGCAGGGATGCGAAGAATCTCCAGGTGGAAAACGCTAAACGACTTAAAAATAGCAACTTGAAATTATTCTACCTCGCTAAAGATAAGGAGACATAAGCCAAACTGACTGCCAACCTTCGCTGTTTCGAGAGGCCCAAGAAGAAATAGAAGAAGATAATATTGAATAAAACAATGTTTCACTATCTTTCTGAAAGATAATTGTAAAGTTTAAGCGTAAAACGATGCAAAACATACGTTAAAATACTAGGCTCAAAAGACATGACACTGACATGACGCCACAACGTAAATGGTGAATACTTAATTTTAAGTTTTTAATTCCAGACTTAGACAACCGTCCTCAATTATTTGATAAATCCCTCGCAATTATTTTATTTGCATTTCTGGTGATGAAATCTATAAACGCTAAAAAAATACTTTAACAAATATTTCGGTATTGTCTTTTCGATCGTGATACCCTTTTTTTTTTGATGTATTTAAAATTTCAATCGATAATGCGCACTTGTACATAGCTGCAGCGCTTGGCGTTGTTGGTATCGTCGCAGATTTTTATTCAGCAGTCTATGCTTTACTTTATCCATCATTTCGAGCTACCTGTGATATTAAAACGGGCTCAAATGCTGCTATTACATTGACCGTATTATTGATATGATGCTCATAATGCTGGATTACCTGGCATCACCCAAGCCACATCACCAATTGCCCAGTCTAAAACTGAAACCTTGAAAAACATAGTCATTGGACTATAATTTAAATGATATAAATTTCGTTGGAGTACCTCTCCGCGCTATGAACCTTCGGATACACATCAGGGCAGCTTCCGTCGTGAGTGAGCCGACAATCTCTAAGTGGATGGCTCTGGTGGTCATGCATGTCAATCCACCAATCAAGGCAATCCACCTTTTCTCTGATCTTCTGCCGATGGTCACTTGGACAGGGCCCATGTAATTAATGCCGATATAAGTAAAGGGCCGGCGTCCATGGGCAAGCCTGCACACTGGGAGATCACCCATCTGTGGTGCCATCTGAGAGCGACGCACGACAACAGAACAGACATTCTCTTGCAACGGCTCGGACAAGGTTGCGCAGCTGTAGGACCCAGTACTTCTGACGAATCTCGTTCATTACCTGCTCTTGGAAGGCGTGGCCAGCTTTTCTGAGGTAATGGTCGACTAGAAGGCGAACGGAAGGATGACGGGCGTTTAAGATAATTGGCCGTTTCACGGTATCAGGAACATCTTCGACGACAGTTATACGACCAAACAGCAGTATGACCCCATATTCATCTAACGCCGCAGAAAGATTTTTCAGTTTGCTCCGCTTCGAAATAGGTATTGCAGCTCTGAGACTCTTCAACTCTTCAGGGAAGGACTCTGGCTGACTCTGCCGCAAAATATGAAGCTCAGCATGATCAACATCTTTTGAATTGAGTGGCGATAACTGGGGAGACGTTGCAGGAGACGGAATGGAAGATTGAGATACTGAGGTGATAAAGAATTTATTGCCGAGATAGGTACCCCGAATTTTGAATTTAGACGACTGCGAAGTTTATTTACAAATTGGAACAGACGAGCGCTTGTACGAACCATTCGCAGCCAGTTACTGAAACGCGAGGGGTCTAGTGCCAAGGCTGGCAACACAGGGACCGACTGAGTGTCGGTACCTGTGAAAGTGTTAACTGCGTCATGTATTTTAAATTCACGACGATACTGAGGCGAGTTTGTGATTTCGCCAGAGAGCGGAACCTCCGTTGGCCAATTATTCGGATACAATAACAATAAAGGTGGTCCTCCTGAAAACCAACGAGATACCTTTAGAAACGCGAGTAACATCATCAGCTACGTTAATGGCTGAAGGTACCCACCTCCACTCCGAAATCTCTGACTCAGCGGAGATCTCTCCAACTCGGTTGGCGACAAAAGATTTAAGGGACCGGGCCTCACTTAGGGACACGAAAAAAGTATCGATACTTTGTGGTATCGAGTACTTTTTCTTTCGATTCTGATACTTTTGTACTCGATACTTTGTATTCGATACTTTTACTTATTGAGTACTTTTTGGCAAGTATCGATACCTTTAAAATTTGGATAAGTGCCTCATATTGATGGCAACGCCATCTTGTTAAATCATAGCAACCTTCCAAAACGTCCCAATGCGTTGTTATAAAGTCAGTAACTGACATATTCAAATTCTTTCCAATCTGTGACTGTGTTTATTTTGTGCTTTGTTTTGTTTCATAGTTATTTATTTAGCGACCATATTGTTAGGAATTGTGATCGATTCGCCGTTTATTGTGCATTTCGCTTGTCTGTATTTGACGTATTCAAGTGTAACACTATTATTCTGTCTATGCTGTGTATACCTATTTGAAACCACGGACCTGAAAAAAAGACTGACGTAACCTCTTCTATAATTATAATATTGAGTGAAGCATGCCAATGGCCGCCGTTAACTGCGTGTCAGATTCAAGTTAACATTTTAATTATTAATGTAATATTAATGAACACTTTTTAAGTGTCAGAAATCACAGCTATTTTTTTTTCATTATTTAATATAGCAATTTGTGAATTTACATGTCCTTTTTCTGATTTGGATTATACGTACTATAATAAAATTCGATTGTTTTTCTTTCAATTTTAAACACGGGGGGGGGGGGGGGGCTCGGCAGGCCACAGAGGATTTGATAAGGCTCTATGAAATGTAATCGATACTTTGAAGTATCGATACTTTCTATTCGATATCGTGTCCCTAGCCTCACTTCGTAGCCATCCGAGGACGTTCATAGAGTCTGTCCAAAAATAACGCTTAGCCGGTTTGACGGGGTAATAGTAGCCACCAAACGCACCGCCTGGCTTTATTACGAAGGCCAATCTGTCATCAGGGATAAGAGATTTAAATTTATAACAATCTACTTAAGGATGACTAGATTGACAAAAGTCGCACGTCGTGTCGGATACTTTTGTTGCATGGATAGTATCGTGACGACGAATTTTATCCAAATAAGGTGGATTATCATAAGTTTGGGAAACTAGGCCAAAATGTATGTGATTTCTAGCTTCCTAAAATTTGCATTCTACAAGAAAACACTGAAAACATGCTGAGATCCTTCATGTCTGTTTGAAGTTTTGGTAGAGCACAGCACTACCATCTCGGGGTGTGCGAAGCGATCCTCCAGGGCATGCATCACGTCTCTCGGATCCGACGCAGTGTAGAGCAAACAGACACGGCCCTGGTCGCACCACCACGCAGCGCACGGCGCAGAAGAGCTAAATTATCTTGGTTGATAAGATGGACGCCGGTGACGGAAGCACCGGATCCACGACTAAAGCAGGATCAGGGAGTGCGGTGCATGTAGTTACCGCTGGGGTGGCGCTGGGGACGGAACTATTACAGGTGCCTTCCAAAAAGGCAGCATCGCCGGCTGGGGCGGGAGCGTTTTGGGCTCCATCCACAAAGGCGGCGTCGCCAGGTAACGCACTAAGGCACTCGTTTTTACACTGCATTCCGGTTTTAACCATTTCAAGGACAAAAAACATGAAAACGAATCAAAAATTCTTGTGGACTGTAGAAATATAATTTATTGACAAGAAAAGAAACAAAAGCAAAACAATATCAAAAAGAATATAAAATACACTATGTAGCATGAAACCTACATGGTTCCGCAACAGCATTTCAATGTAAAATAAAAAGAATATCGAAGACTGAAGTGTATAGATATAATGTCCTTTGCTTTGTCTATGACAGCAATAAAAAAGCAAAATAAGAGTTTGAAAAATACTCTGAATCCGTTTCCTTGCTACATAAAGTGATCTGTGTCCGTTTCCGTTCATACGTCAACGCAAAATCTGTCCAATTTTTATTACAAATTGATAATTTCAGCATCAAAATAGAAATATCTATCACTTTATCATTCATACAGAGCTTTTACGGTTTCCCTTTGTTATATTTCACCATGCCACGCGGTGAGTGCTTATATTTTGTTCGGGAAAAAAATTCAATGTCGTCCAATGATATGCGAATGTGTTTGTAATTTTGTAACTTGTTAATCTATAATCCAAGTGTTTAGTGTTAATTTGTAAGCATTTACTAAATTTCTGAACGGTAGCAACGCTACACTAACATAGTTCGCTGTAAATAGTAAAAAGCCTGCTCACGGATTGTTTATTATAACCTATAATTGTACGTCATTTGTTGTTTCAGGTAAATATACTAACCATAAAGGCCGTAATCGTAAGTTTACCAGCCCCGAAGAATTAGAAGAACAACGCAAACAGGAAGAGTTAAAGCAAAAGTGAGTAGATACAACATCTTTAAGATTATTTTGGTCTTCAACCAAAGTTCCTTTTTATTATGTATTTATAGCTTATTTAAGGTCAGACAATATATAAATTGAAATAGTTATACTTGAATAGACTAATATTCAGTCACAGTAAAATATACACAAGTAAATTATTATTCAAGGCATTCTATTTTTATCCATTATCATTATAAAAACATAGGTAATTATTTTGAAGATCTTTGATAGCTTGTTGTTTCAGAACTGTTTTACAAAGTTAGATTTTGTTTTTGAATGTTTGTTTGCTACTAGTACTTTTTACACAACTTCAGTCGTCAAAATACATTAGTATTAATAAATTATTTAATCACTTGATAATTTACCTACAGACTAGGCACTGAAGTGGTTTAATTGTTCCTGGGACTGGTTTGATAAATTTTAGTAGGTGATTTCTTTTTATTCAAGTGAAACAATTCATGTTTACCTTCTCTAGTAGAACAGAAAGTAATGCAATTTCTCACCAACATCTCAATAAATGAAACTTTTTGGTTTCGTTATATTTATTAAAATAAAAGATTATCATATTAACTATTTTCAGATGGAGAAAAGAACATCAAGAGAGTTCAAGTGAAGAAGAATCTGGTGACAACAAGTCGGGGTCAGGCAGTAGTGAAGAAAGCGACTCGGATGAAGATGTAATATACAATTTCATTCCCAAACTTAAACGATTAAGTATAAATTTTGTAAACATCTATTGTTTTAATGTAATTTAGAATTGGAGTACCCATGGAGGAAAGGAACCTCCACCTTATAGTCTTCTATCAAATAACACTAGGACAATACAGTTTGGTTGATTGTTGTGGCATGTAGCAATGCTAAAATTTTTTCAGCTGGATTCCAGTTCCTGTTAGCTATTGTGGTATTTTTACATTCGGGGTTTAACCTACTTTCCTTTCAGCTGGGTCTGAATTCTAATAGGACTACATACAAAGGACATACATACTTCTTTTTCTGAGGAATAAGAAGGTGACCAGTTTTCAAGGTGTGACATACACTGAGGTTCTGGGTAACTGTGTTTGCATTTGCTGTCTAGTTAAAAATGAGAGCATTTTTCGCCAGTAAACTGTTTTTCAGTTTGGCTGAATCAAAAAGTTAATGTTAAATGGTGTAAAATTATGAAAGTTAAATAAAATAAAAACCCTGTAGAACCAAGTTTTTGTATGATAAATACAAATATTTCTGCTTAAGTCGGCTTGTATTGATTTCAGTTTTAGTTTTTTAGATTCCCTTAAATATACAGTGCTTACTTTTGATCTGTCTAAGTGGTGTATGTAAGAAATATATATTCATACAATGTACAAGAAGATTATAAAATGTTAAATATTGTTTGAAATCATTAAACTTAGTTATAGTATGCGTGTTAGCTCGATTGGACTGTGATCATGGAATTTTCAGGCAACTTTCGCAATGGTCGCTCATTGGATAGGTGACCAAAAACTTATTATCTCGAGCTCCTCCGTGCTTCGGAAGGCACGTTAAACCATTGGTTCTGGCTAAATTTGACAACTAAAGTCGTTATCGCCCACAAACCCGCATGGGGCTCAGGCGGTGGGTCAACCTCTGAATTCCATCCACAAGGAAGGCCTGTGACCTAGCAGTGGTGACATTAATAGGCTGGTGATAATGAATATTAGTTGCAATTTCATTAATAGTGTGTTATTTTCAATAATTTCAGCATCCCACTAAGGCAAAGGGCGTTTCTGGTCTTATTGAAGTAGAAAATCCTAACAGAGTAGTGAAGAAAAACAAAAAATTATCTAATCTGAATAATTTAGGCGAAGGCGAAAAAGCTCCCCTATCAAGGTTAGTATCTATGTGATAGACTATGTAACTATCATTTTGACAGCAGATTTAGCATTTAAATTTGGTAGACTAAGACTACATGTTTTTGACAGCAATAGTTCAAAAAAAAATCTTATCATCAATAACATTTCTTTGCTAGAATGGAATTAAAACAGAACAGTAAAAGAAATTCATCCTTGTGGTGAACAATGGAGTGTAAAGGAAACCAAATACTCAATATGTTTTATTTTTTTGTCAATTAGTAAGTCTGTCAAAAGTTTTAGAAACTTATTAAATTATAGGCAATGATCTGGAAAGGAAAAATAAAATAATTACATTACTACCAATTTCAACAGGGTACTTGTGGTGTGACACAACATTCAAAATGAAAGTATTGCATATGTCACATTATGTAATGGAGGTAACTTCATGAATTATCTCATATTAAAGTCATTTTTCAACTTAACAACTCTGTATTTGATAATAGAGAGAGAAAAAACTGCCCTTGTTGAGTTTCTTTCTGGATCTTCTCAGAGCATCTTCATCATCTCTTGAATTGATGGCCTAGCTTCTAGACATTTATAAGTTACCGTAACAGCCTTTAGGCTTCATCATCATATTCATTTATGAATAGACTATTTTTGATTTTAATGATGATGAATAATGTATTGCAGAAAGGAACGCGAAGAAATAGAAAGGCAACGCGCGGCAGCTGCGTATCAGAAAGCTCACGCTGAAGGCAAGACAGATCAGGCTCGAGCTGATCTCGCTAGACTAGCTATCATCCGGCAGCAAAGGGAAGAGGCGGCTAAGAGGAGGGAGGCTGAGAAGAAAGCTAAGGAAGAGACCACCAAGAAAAGGTAACTTTAATATTATTATATAATATGCTCAAGGTGAGAGACAGACTAAATTTTCCAATCATGTTCTACTTGTCATCATCTTGCATTAAAGGGGGAGGCTAAGAAGATAGTCAAGTAAGAAACTACTAAGAAAAGGTAAACATAACTTCATTTATGTTTTATTAAATTTAACCTTGTATTGGGATGCTAAAGGCAAGACAGATCAGGCACAAGCCAATCTCGCCAGACTGGCCATCATTCAGCAGCTAAGAGGAGGGAGGCCGAGAAGAAAGCCAAGGAAGACACCGGGAAAAGGTAGATATAATAATAAGTATTTATTTGCACCCCGTCTCACAGAGATTAGACTGGCCGATCATCAGCAGATAAAGGTATAGATATAGATAGGGAGGGTGTGGTGGTGGTGGAAATTTTATTTAGTCTGGGGCGCCAGATTGTAATATGCCCCCTGAGCCTTTTATTCGCGAGTAACCTAAGCCGAAAAAGTGAAAGGAGAAGTAAAAAAAGGTAGTGTAGTAGTATAGTTATTATTTATGCAACTGTTGTATATTGAGGGGTATTAACACATGAATGTGGGTTTATCGGACCAGGCGAAGCAGAGTGTGATACTATTATCACATGAGTATTTTATACATAGAAGAGAGCATAGAAGACTATCAACACCCATGATATGAATACTCTACAAAAGATTCTATAACCATGGAGCGTTTTTAAAACTTAAAATTCTTGCGAAGTTTCGGCGCTATGGAAACTCGCGTGGCGGACGATACTCTTTTTTTGAAATTCAAATACCACGCATCGAGCAGTGACAATTGTGGCTGTTTGATGAGTAAGCCCTTGGCGCGGAAGGGATTTCAAATGCGAAGGAGTGTTTTATGAAATTAAGTACAACATTATAACACCCAAACGGGTGAAATTATTTTTTTATAATTATGTCATTGGATGTTATATAATGTTGGCAATAAGCTTACTGTTTCAGAATACTTAATAGAGGTTTTTAAGCATGGGTGTAGATAAAAGTAAAGTAAGAATCCTAGCAAGTTTTATGTGGAAAGTTTCTTTATCAATCAGCTCTCCATTTTGAACCTTGAGCTATACATATTCATTTCACATAAAGTTGAAAATACAAGTTAACATCGTTATGAAGGCACATCACCCCCACTGGAAAATTCTTTGACCTATCATCATTGTAAATAGAACTTAATTTGCATTTAACGTGAAAGTGGAGTCAAGAATTGTAGGGGCTAGTATAAAATCCTTTCTATTAATAAACAGGCCTAAAATAGTTACTCAGTGTTTGGTTCCCTTCATTTGACATATCAAGAAGCTTAATGGGGTAGTGCTGTCTTTGCTTGGTCTGCGATCGTCATATTTAAGAAGTTTTCACTATGACCAAAAATCTTATCTATGTCGAGCTGCAACCTGCTTCTGTAGGCACGTTAAGCTGTTGGTCCTAGCTGCATCTGCATTCATTAGCACCCACCAATCCGCACGGTGCTAGTATAGTGGATCCATGAAAAGGGACTTTATTGGGCTGATAATGAAATGTCATTTATAATTCGAAAATCATGGAATTTTCGAATTATCTAACTATGTATCTTGATAGAATCAGTGCAAATGTAATAAATAAGTAGCCAGTCTTTGCAGCTAATACTTAACAAATATATTTTCTTATGTTTTTATTTTTAAAGCATTTAACTTCTAGATGTTTAAATCTAAAGTGGAATTTTTTCTAGTAAACTTTTCTTTAAATATATATATATATATTTTATTTCAGGTAGACAAATATCGACATAGCTCTACATGGATGTTCCACTAATTGCCGTTTCACGTACCCTCCTGTCAGCTAGGTTAGGCTTTCAAAATCTATGCAAAAGTAACTATTACGTATTTTTAATGCTGCTTTTACACGCTGGTCAAGTTTTGCAAGTTAACCGTTACAAATGCTGGGTTACATACAAAAAACTCTTTCAAGCCAATGTGAGCCATATGAATCATACCTCTTTCATGTTGGTTTTGGTTAATACAATTTGACCAAGTGATGGCAAGCATGTAAGCGCAGCATAAGAATATTAAATTACTAATATTCTTCATACCACTCATAACAACTTGTTATAAATGAGATCCACACTTGATATATTTTATCTTCATTATGTCAACACGCAAGGAATTGTCTAATAAATGTGCATAATAATAAATACGTGTCTGTTCATCTAACTATAATCGCGTTGTTTTTTGGTTTTGAGAAGCTTCCCTAGCAATACAGATAATTTATTATTGTAATTTTTAATACTTACAATGAATTTTATTTTGTATACAACACGCAATATATGATAATTAGGTATTTTGAAATCTATTGATATCGTGTCTAAGGATTGAAGATAAATTAATGAAAAAACACTGGCGTGTTGTAATATTTGACGTAATAAAATTGACCAAGCTTTGTCCCAAATACCAGATTCGAATTTGCTATGCTTATTGATTGACTTAAAACAATAATATTGTTGTCTACAATTTTACATCTGTATAACTGTTACGAGTTAGTGAAAATTCAATTAAATATCTTTTTATACTCTTCTAATTATTATTGTTTTTGCAGACTTATATATAACTTAGTGTGTTTAGGTAAATTTTATTCGAATGTTTGTATAGGCGATCTCTCGTTATTATTTTATAATGAAATTGTTGGTTGATTGATCTGTACTTTACTCTCTGGCGAACAGGTGACTATACGAATGACGTGACAACTTTTAGTGCAATTATTGAAAAGAAAAAAACATGGTATTCTACCAACAATCACAAAATTGAAGAAAATCTGATTTTATGATTTTGTAGTCATCATAATATAATTTATAGTGTGTATAGACAATCACTTTTTTAATCACTCTACATATTCAAGTATAGAAGTATAAACTTTAATATAAATAATTTAAAAAAAATAGGAAATACACGGAATGTAAAAAAATACCGGTCAAGTGCGAGCCGGACTCGCGCACCGAGGGTTCCGTACAAACTCAATTTAATACCTGTTCTACTTACAACAACTTATAATTACGCGTTCATTAGAAAAGAGGTAGAAACTTTAAAATTTTCTAAAATATTTTTTATTGTATGATATAACTAAAAATTTACGGTTTTCGCAATTTTTCCTTGTATTATAAGACGTTACTTCTAGGTTCTAAGTTCACGGGAAGTAACCTGTAGGTTTTGATTCCCGTGCGACTTTCCGTTTTTGCCTTTTGAGGTACGGAACCCTAAAAAAGCAAAAATAAACTTGTTTTTAGTTAGCCTAAGAGCAATTTTACTATAACTGGACTGAGACAACGACTCGTGGACATCCCGTTCAATGGTCATGGTTTGTTATAAACCTGGTAAGTACATGAAGGGTAATCTTATTTGCTATGTCGGGCTTTAACGCGAAATTAATGCAAGTGATTACAAGATCGATCTGGATACTTAGAGTATAATTTTTCATTATCTGAAATAAATACTATAACTCTTTTTTCCTTTCTACTAGTTTATTTCTTCTAACTAAATTACGCTAAGGTTAACAAATGTACTCACGATTTAAAAACCTCTTTGGAAGTCTGTTCAAAATATGCATAGTCGCTATATATAATTTATTTTACACAATACTGATCGATGTCATAAGCACGAAACAATTTCGAATTCAAATAGTTGAATTCGATCTCGAACACACGTCCTATGTGTAATGATTTTTAATTCTCGTTACGTCCGTTGTGGCGCCACTATTCAAGTTTCTATACAAAATGTCTCAATAACTATGAACTAATATTTTTTCTAGTAGCCACTTGTGCAATATTGTATTGTTATGACTGTCGCGTCATAAGTATAGAGCCTTAATAGCTTAAACTTATAATATTGATAATAATTATATAAAATACAATATGTCAACTATTTGTTACTTAAAATAAACGCTATCGCAAACTCATATAATTACCTACTTATGCTTTTTTAGCAATCACAAACTCAAATAATTCTTCTTCGTTAGTTTTGTTACATAAATTTACTTTGACAATGTAAGTTGTATGAAAATATTACTTAATGTAAACATTTTGTTGAATGAAATGTTAACAGTTCTAAAAACATATAAAGTCATATAAAATATTTTGTATATGTAACACACGAAGTTGCGTGAATTGTATATAAAGGCATGCAATAAATGTATACTTAATAAAATAATTTGTGTAAATTACGGATTTATAATTTTTATATATTATTCTTGAATTGTTAATTGTATTCTAATAATTTTAGAACCACCGTCACAATAGGTTTGATTCAAAGTGAAATAATTAATGTTTGGCAGGGCTTATCAAAATTTATTTGAAATAGTATAGGAAATAGTAGAAATAACTTTAATTTCAATTCATTTGTCTCTCTGAAAAGGTTGATATTGAAATTTTCATTTGAATTTAGCTCTAAATGTTAGATAGACTCACTAGACAATTTTATATGCAAATGTGTATCTGTACAAATAAACATGGAAAACAAACATGCATTTTTATTGCCAATAAGTTCTGAAACTTAAAATCTCCCATCTTTTTATGAAATTATAAATTCTTCCATTCAATTCCACCACTTCTGTCTACTGAGATAATGAATGTAAGAAATTTTAATCGCTAATTTATAATTCCAGCTTTTTTATTGAGGCTTGCAAAATAAACGTACCTGTTCACCTTCAAATTGTATGAAATTCTCATAAAATGCAAATAATTCACGAAAGGTGCCAATTTAATATTATTCACATATCCACCTGGTACTGGGATACTTGGAGATTTTTTTCCAATTATTGCTATCGCTTGGGATATATGGAACTTTCTATTACTTAAATCCCGACCGATCCGCACTGGTAGGGATAATTGGATATTTTTTTCCCATTTATCGTTATCAGTAGGGATATGATTTCTTTATGATTAACTAGGTGTTCCTGAATTACTTGTAACAAACAAGTCACGAAAACTATATTAATACAAACCCATATTTAATTATCTACCTACTGTTAAAACATAACTTTCAAGTAAAGTTATATACCAGTGCGGATTAACTTAAAATTATAAATTATTTATTACAATGTATTATTTACCTTACCATATCTAAGAAAGCACCTCCTGTAATTTCTGCCTTAACAAGTTGTAGTTGTTCATTTTGGATAACAATATCACGTGACGTGTCATATATGTACCTTTTCTCGGGGTTGCGTTGCTATCAAATCGTGTTTAAGAGGCTTAAAGCGTTTTTGTTAATATGGAGTGCTTATGTAGTATTAATAGCAATCCAATCAACTTTAGCAATTGCCGTCATCGGATGGGTGACAAAACTTGATTATATCTCCGTGTTTCGGAAGGCACGTTCAGACATTGCATTTGCATCTGTGTGACGTTGTATCTGCAGTTGTTAGCCACCCCTTTATTTGCTGTCGGGCCGCGTGGTGTATCGTAGTAGCTCAATCTCCTTATTCCATTCATAAGGCCTGAGCTCCGGCAGTAGTGACGTAGTATAGGCTGATAATTACGTGAGATGTTTACAGTTACTTCAATAGGTATATATATTGTCACAAACGCTCTCGAAACGGAACCGCGAAAGTGCTAGAGACCGAATTTGCCAGAGCACCGCGGGTCACTTTAGAGGTCGAGTAATGCGGCTCATTCTAAAATGAACCTTATGCAATGCGGCGTAAGGGAGAAAGTGCAACGACATCTGCACTTGTTTACAAGTTATGCGCGTTTTCTGCGTAGGTATAAGTAGGTACTATATACTCTCAATTTAAGGGTACTTTCTAGAATGCGTCGATCGGCATACATAAGCCGCGCAGAGACAGTTGAGTTTCAACAACGATTTCGGAGCGAATCCAAAGGCGATCAAAGTGCAACAAAAGTGTTCAAGTGCGATTGTTTAGAGACTTGTATAGTAAAATACAGTTTTTAGTGAGTGTTCTGTGATTAACATTGTGTGGTGATTAAAGGACTGTCAGGCGTGAACTGGCAAATAAATTCGAACCCCGTCACGACTAGGGATGCAAAGTCTTTTGAAATATCGATATTATATCGAAGTCAGGAAAATATCGATATCCGATATATCGACCATTTGAACTCGATATTATCGATATATCGATTTTTTTCTTTTTTTTTATAAACATTAGAATACGGGGTGAGTGTGACACATTCATATGTTTTTTTTTGGCTCGTACGGTTTGTGTTTCAGCCACGACAGGAAACCAAAAAATTAAAATTATTATCCTGATCAGATCACTCACATTTGTTAGCACGAATGCCTTCGCTAAGTTTTCACTACATTCGTGCTTTTCCAAGCTAAGTCGGTTTTTTAGATCACACGCACATCAAATACGGAAATTGCTTAGTCTCCCACACATCAAGGGCGTGCCCATGGCTTCTTCTTCTTCTTCAATAGGGTAAGCCTAAAGCTTCAAAAATTACTATACCTATCTTACTTTCTTGACTTGGCGAGCTTAAAAATTTACGATTTGTATAAGATTCTTAATTTTATTTTGTGTTATATTACAATGATATTTAATTTCAATTAATCAGTACTTGACAATTATCTAGAAAGAGAGGCAAGGATTTTATTTAAGTGCATGAGTTACCATTAGGTATACGATTATACCTATATACGTTGGTGTCGATTCTGGCATGATTATCTAAACTTAAAACTAAAAACATCAGTCTCTCCTTGTCATTCTGTATAGAGAATGACAAGGATACACTGTTGTCAAATTTAATTTTAGGTTGAGAGAATCATGCCAGAATCCACACCAGTTTAGTATATTTCTTGGGGTTCAAGATTTTTTTAAAACATCTATAAGCTCTTGCGATTTGAAAGCAATAGTTATTTCGATATTATTCAATTAAGATAGTCATAGCAGGTAAATTAATTGATATTATTGTTTAAATTTAGTCTACGAAATATCGATATTTTGGAATTTCCGATATCGATATTATCGATATCAGTGAATTTTAAATATCGATATAAATATCGATATTTTGGTCTCGATATTATCGATATTCCGATATATCGTTGCAACCCTAGTCACGACACGTAACAATATCTACAGTAGACCGCGTCTAATCCGGCGCCCCCGATAATCCGACACGCTTATCACTGTTGATTTGCACATTAAATCAATTGAAAAATATTTTTAGATCTGTAATTGAGTCGTATAGTGTCAAAGGCGGCAAAGTAGGGCGAACCAAATATTTGGCAAATCAAAAAAAAACTGTTTAGTCTCTTCTTTAAGGAAGGATAAAATATTGACATTTCACTACGATTTGTAGTTATGATGAATGTCAATTATAAAAATCCTCCCTTAAAGACGAGACTAAACAGTTTTTTTTGATTTTCCAAATATTTGGTTCGCCCTACTTTCCCGCCTTTGATACTATACGACTCAATTAGTAAGATAACAAAGTACTCTTATTTCAAAAAATCTGGTTTATAGAGGGCGGTCTTAGGCAGTACTCTGTTATCCGAAATCGCCCTGCAAAACGTTTGTCGTATTATCGCGGGTCTACTCTATTTATATTTCTTTCTGAAACCCGAGATTCATCTGATAACACTCGTCTAATTTAATGTCTGTGGCAGTGGTTCTTAACCGGTGGTCAGTGGACCACTGGTGGTCTCGCTGCTTGGCTTCCTCGCGGACCATTTCGGTTGTTACCCTCTGGTAACAACCGAAATGGTCCGCGAGCGAAGCCTTTCGAAAAAATATTGCATAAGGAAGTTGATAATTAGTGGTCCCTCGAAACTTAAAGGTTGCGAACTACTGACTGAACTACGATCATACATAAAATAATATTTGCCACAGCATTTACAGTCAGTGACAGGAGAGCGTATGGTCTATAACTTCACAATGAAGCATCTAGGCAAGGCAAGGGTGATATTTTCGTATTCAATGATGAAGATATTAAAGTGCATAGGGATCAAATGCATTTTCAAAAATTTCGACCTGTTATGTATGTGCCACCTTGAAGGTGCTATGAATATGGGTCGAAGTAACAGGTAACATGACTTGCTAAGGCTGCAGCATCAGCATCTAAGTTGGGGCCGAATTATCAGAAACCTACAGCTCACGTTCTCACAGAACGACACTTAGAATGCCTAGGACAAACATACTACTTGTAAAATTATCTGCTTATCGTAGACATGCAGCGTTCACCTGCATCTCGTAGGCCATGCACCGCTTGCAACTTTTGCACAATGTAAGCATGACGATGGACTGCAGCGCAGCATTCATAGCGGGCACTCACAAGACCCACTAATGCTAGAATTGAAGTTAACTTTTCAACCTATAACTGCAGCTAGCAACCGCTGACGTAGTACAAGAATATTGTATCATTCAATTGTTTATTTTAGGAGCAATTACATCGGCGTACCCGCCGATAACCCGCGGGTTAGGTTGCGGGAATTCCAAATTGCTTGGTTATCCCCATGCAATTACCCTGTTTACAATCTACTGGCTCAGTATTCGCTCTGTGCACACGTATACACTCTCGTCAAAGTGAGAATGTGTGGTCGTGTATATGCATACTGGTGGCAACGGCAATAGCGAGAAAATATGTATGTACACGACCACATATTCTCACTTTGGTGAGACTGTATGACTGTGTGAGTGTGCACAGAGCGAACATATTCTTTTGCGCATAGTCGATAGCTACACAGTGAAAGGCGAACGTTCACGAAGGAACATTACTTAGGAGGAGAAGCCCCGTGACATCTAGAACTCAACATGACGTCCCAAGAAGATCAAGACAGAATACTTACTTTTCCGGTGGACACCTTCACGATCCGCGGGCCTGCTATACCAAGTGAGGCCCCTTTCAGCCCTGCCGAATTTATGCGTTTTCACACTGCATATCATAAGTTTGTTCGGTCGATGCGAAACTTGGACTTGACTTTTCTTAATGGGAAAGCATGCACCGTCCGCTACAACTTTGATGCAACGAGACCGGAAGAGGATCGCCTGCTGATAAATTGGGACTGGCTCATGCCCCTATTTTGCAAGCCGCCGCCTGGTG